ATTTGGGTGAATACAAAAAATAGAAAAAAAATCTGTCAAATATATAAATTATCAATGCCAATGTCGAATTTAGAAAAAAATATACTTATACTCAACATCATGTTTTCTGTTAATTGTTATATTTGGGAACAACAATTTAAAGACCGATTTATCAATACTGAATTATTATATATTTATTATGGTTGATTAGTTTAAAAAAAATAGTATTTACGTTTGACAAGTAAACATTTGGCATTATTTACGATGGAATAATTTTGTTGCACCATTACATTTTTTTTTAAATATGTTTTAAAATGGGGGRAAATATTATATCCTAAAAGTTGAATTTACACTGGTTAGTTAAATTAATTTAATATAAAAGCTATAATTTGTTTGACCTTAAAAGATATCGTGTGATACAAATAGTGTAGATACACTATGCAGCAATATGTTGGGATTGCTGTGAAGACAATTGGACATTATTGAAAAAGGTTATACGAGTATACTTTGCTATTCAATAGACAATAGTATATCATTGTAAATGAAAATCAACAAATTTACAATAATATTTAGTGTACTGAAATTACAATCTTTAATGAAAACGGTAATATTTTTCAACTTTTCACGTATCTACTCGTTTATATATTTATCAAGCATGAAACTCAACTATATAAAAAATTCGTAACTAATTAATTATTTAATGCTGTCGTTTGACATGAGCCACATGAATTATATTAGTATTATTTATTAGTAGTTAATAAAATTATAACATTTTTATCTATTAATGTGTACATGCGTACCTACGCTTAATACTTAACAACTCTAAATGAACTTTGCCCTTGCATTATACATTATATAACATAATTAAACGAGATGAACAACAATATAATGTAGACATTCAAATTTATTTTTCAGAATTAGAATATTACATTTTATTGTATATATTATATGTATTTCGTTTCCTTAAGTTCTAAAATGTTCTTCGATCAAAACAACAGGTATTTTTACTTACAATATATAATATATATATATATATATATGTATTATATAATATATAAAATATAAACACTACCTATATGTTAATACGAAACTGAATTATTAACAATATTGCAGTATGTTATAGGGTGAGAATATATTTTTTATTTTTTATTTATTTTTTATTAGAATAATTAAGCTTCGGCAACTATGGCCATTAGCAACAATGRGTTTAACTCTAAATTATTTACAAGTTATACAATTTACATCTTAAACGAAAATATAAATATAAATAGGTATAAATACAAACATGTAAGTATAATGTAAAATAGACGATGAATGATGAAATGAATGAACAAATGATGATTGTAATTTAATTTTTTATATTAATTTTGTATATATATATCTATATTTTAAATTATTTTAACTTTTTAATTTTTTTTTTCTAAATGTCAGAATATTATGTGATGTTATTATAAAAATTGAGTAAAAGTAGTTAGCTATAAACGGTTTTAGTATTTAATATTTGTTAATAATTCAAATGTATATGCATTATATTAGGTGGAATCGTATCAGCGGTATAGTACGTACCTATACTAGCTATAGTATTAGTAAATTATTATTAGTAAATGTGTATTACAGTGATTTTTCTATTGTATGGTTGATATCTATTATACTTAGTAGTTCATACCTGTGGAAAATTGTTTTACAAGGATCCGGACACGCTCTGGTCCCGAATTCGGTAATGACAATTCTTTGAGCTGCTTTATTTTGTTTATATGTGTTTGATTCCAAGAATCTACACTGATATGATACTGTTCCATTTTTAAATGCATACCTAATATAGGATAGATTTACAAGGTGCATAATTTATTATATGATATTATAATTAATATAGTTACCGAATTTAAATATAAATCGTGTGATATTAATATATTACCTATGTATTTTTTATACAACATATTTAAAAAATTCATGTAGGTTTCCTTATGAATGTTATTATTTTTACCTGTGTAGTAAAGCCGAACTGTCGAATACGTGTTTAAATTCATAATTTCCCACTCGTGTACTCCCCGGACCGTTTCGTAGCAGCGACCCCGATAACCATTCCGGTATCTTACCTRTATATATTATTAATATTTAATTGTGTTATTGTAAATCGATATTGAAATTTTTTAAACTGAGATTTCGGTGCATTATGTGTGAGTAGTAAAATAGGAATGCAWATAAATTGTATCTTCTCTATGTTATACAGTGCAATATTTAATATTCAAATCCTTTTCAACTTACCCTCGATTTTCCCTTGGATCGGAGTCGGAATTTCATGCGTACAATTTCTTAGCCAAATCGACGTATCACAATTCGGGTATAAATCCTGGCCGGCATTCAGATGTTTTACTAACAAGTCTCTGTTTTCGTCCAATCCGATAAACATACCGTCGATCCCTCTTGGTGCAGTTTTTCCTCTCGTCGACGGCACAGTCTCTTTCCAATTGTTTGCGACGCGCAGCAAACCCTTGGTCAACCAAAATCGACATTTTTTATACCGGTCAATAGTTGATTTGACTTTTGAGGTCAATATTGTTTTTAACAAAAATCTTTTCTTCGATAAATACCGGGCTGTTGTTTTCATCGTTGTTAAATGCACTTTTACACGGTATAAATGCTTTACAGTTAGGTACCTACTATTTTATTATTTCGAAATAATCATATTTACCACCACCGTGTGTTACGAAAAACACGTGTAATTGGATACAAATAAACGATTATAATATGGCTTCCCGAATGAATATAACATATATGTAGGTAGGTACTATATAACCGATCAAATGTTAACTAAACACATTTAATGTACTTAGCACRATATTAGCCTCTACGTATAATATTTAATTTACAGGCATATACATACCTTCATATAATGTATGCTTTAATATGATCGAATAAATAATATATATATATGATATAAAACGATTACACCAGTTTAACATAAAATAATTTTGATCCTGTTATCGGCCATCAATCATTATTGTTTGTACATTCTATTATAACAGTTATGGATAGGTTGTAAAAAATATATTATTATTGTATTTCATAATAATACCAAAAAATTATACTTACATCTCATCCATAGGTACACTAAACTGACCTGCGAACTGCGTTTCYAACCACACGACGTCAGTGATGAATTATGTACCGTTTCGATTAAATTGGTGGTCCGTAAAGTATGTATTATAATAGGTACCGCCAGCGAACAATATACGAATCGATTATATTATAGACGATTACGTAACTTGAGCGCATAAAACTAAAACAAAAGTGATGAGTACAAAATAKAGGAATTTCATTGGAATAATGAACTTGTATTGTACATATATCCATTATAATGTATATAAAATTATTAAATCCTTAAAAAATGTGTTTGTCCAGATTCTGATTTTTGAAGTTCTTAAATGTATTTACTTAACGACCAAATACTTGAATTTTTAATACCAAAGAGTACCGCAACGTGTGGTGATACAAGCTCCTTTTTTTTCCAATGAGAACTACATAGGTACCTATAATATTATAATATATTAGTATATTACTGTAAGMTATCGAACAAATATGATTTTTTTTTAACATTTTGATTTATTAAATGTTATGCACTATAAGGGTAATTTAATTAATTATTTCTTTTACTATTAAAAAATTACAAAAATGTTATAGCTTATAATTAGCTCAAATATACGCAGGGTCGCGCGTGATTCACCAAATATAATCAACCCCTTTTTTCTTCTTCAATAATTCAATAATTCAGTTATTTAATATTTTATTTTTGGATTTTTTAAACATACTTAAATACCATATTTTTAAATTCTTGAAATGTCTTGCAGTATTATTCTGTGAGCGTGGAGATACAAACTTATTTTTTTTAATTAGAACCCTCCTTTTCAACTGTAAATTATTCCGTGGATAATTTTTCTAAACAATTTGAAGTATCAGAATTAAAATTCATACGGCTAACTAATTTTTGAGTTATTTATTTTTAGTGTTCTAAGAATAAAAAGTAATGGGTTTATGAGATATGAGGGGTATGGTAATTTAAAAAATATAGTTCTTATTATATTAATCCATCATGGCATCAACATCAAACATTTGGAATAAATGGTCAAAAATTACTCAAAATACAATAATACTATAGTCTCGATATTGCGTCTAATTTAAATTTTTAAGGACTATTATCCATTTAACAAACGTTTTTATAAGAAAGTATTCATCTGAATTTTAAAATAGGTGCATCGAAATGTTCAAAAAATCTTTAAAAAACAAAAGTTTGAATMGCCACAGAACACTAATTGAGTATTAAAAAACTGTCTGAGTATATTTTAAAACTCCAAAAACCAGAATTTGAATAAATTCATTATTAAAGGAAAAAATGGGGGTGAGCATGTTTGGTGAACCACTCTGTATATCTTAAAATTTGAAATYATATAACGCTTATAAAATAATTCTTCCAATGTTTTTTGATATTTTTTATTGTTGCAGGAAGAAACCTTGTATTAAATCCAAAAAGTTTTTTACTCATAATCAAAAATAATGGCATACTTACATCGGAAAATTTGTAAAAAAGTAGAAACATTATAATGTTTATAAGTAGCATAAAATTATAATATTTAAAAATTATGTAGTGTCGAAAAAAAGCTAGCATAAATAATTACTGAAAATGTTAGTATTGCAAATAAAATCGATGTTGTCCAAAAAAGTCAAAAACTGATATTGCATAATATATTTAGTAATTTTGTTCCATTTATTTTTTTTTTTAAGTTGTAGTCAATTTTTTACTTTTGATCTCCTCCCTTTAAGCATCAAATAGATAAAAATATTATTATTGAGTAATCGTATTAGGCRCGTAGAAACATTATAAGTTGTTAACATGTCATAATAATAATATATTATGAGATTATAAAAAGATACRAATGAGTTAATTAAAAACAATCTGAATAAATATGGAAGTAGAAAAGTTTTTAATTTATTGTAGATAATTTTGTTATCGCATCAAACACCGCGTATTTATATAGAGGTGTACCAACGTTTTCCTCACAGTTCTTACAAACAGTTATATAACAGTGTTTTTATAAAGTTATTAATTTACACTCAACATCATGAAATCCTCTGTAAGTAATTTAGTATAAATTCATAACACAATATAATAGTATTCAATAATTTTTTTTATATAATATTTGAATTGTCTGTTTCTAAACAATATTTAATTCAATAATTTAATAATAATTTTTATTTTTAAATATGTACCTGCTTTGTTGACGTTAAAGAGTACCTACACAATTTGGCGATTTATGTTTTAAGTTTAATTATAGATTGACATTAAACATGGACAGACAGTTTTTTTGTCGGTCTGCGCAATATTTTTAGTATTATTATTTATTATAGTGTTTTAACTCTTTCATACAGCCTTTCAGAATAACTATTCACTTAAGTTTAAATAAGGCCAAAGTTTATTTTAGTTATGTGATATAAAAACATATTTTTATTTTTATGTTATACATTTTACTTGCAATTAATAATGTTTTCATAATACCTACTTATAATTTATAAATAAATCAAAATTGTTAAGTAGGGACTAGGGAGAATAATTCAAAGGATGTGCAACTGCACAAAAACGTTTTTTAGTTAGTGATTTTATAAAAGTTAGTCAATTTGATAGAATTTAATACTCAAAACTACTGTTTAAAATGTTTGTAATATTATAATCAAGATAAAATGAATTTGGAAATTTTGTTTATATTGTTTATCAAATTAATACTAAAAATATTAAAACATACTTATATTTTCGATAGGCAGGTCCTGAATACAATATATTTCTATACCTACTAGGTGTATATATGCATAATAATCGAATGATTGTTTACATAACAATTGTTCTTACTATATTGACACTTACATAACATTTAGAAATTAGACGTCAAATAAAATTTATAAATAACTCATATATTTTATTTAGATGGTATTTCTTTTCGTGGCAGTATTTATGATACAACAATGTTTGAGCGCTCACTGTCATCACGAAGGTGAAAAATCTCCACAAGAACATACCGGTGATCACACTGATCACACTGGTCACAACCACGAAGCTCACGCGAGTCACGAAGGAGTTGACCATACAGGCCATAACCACGAAGACGGCATTGATCACACAGGCCATGACCATACATCAAATGATCACGCTGGCCATAACCACGAACACGAACACACTAAATAATAGTTATTAAGCTAAGCACACAAATTGCAGTATAACGACACCACAATCAATTAATAAATTAATATTTCATTAAAATTAATATGGCATTCTCCGTGGTATAATTTAACTATATTATTCTCGTATAATAACTATAATGTCTAATAATATTGTACAACATTATKAAATAAATTAAGAATATCGAACTTTTTATTTAATTAATTTATCTCATACCTATTACAAAATGTCCAACTACTAGTAACTAATATATATGAATTATGGGTAATAGGTATACAGGATACAGGATACAAATATACAATTACATTAGAAATATCAATAAAAACGTTGGTGATCAGTGGTCCTTATATACCTAAAAATATGATTCTGAAATATATTATATATCATAGTAAGTATACCTTATTAGTGCTTACCTATTTAATTAGATTAATTCTGACTATTTAAGTCGTAAATATAATTATTGTACAAATTATAACATAGTAGGAATAATTATAATAAAATAATAAATTATGTGCCTACTAAGTACTATCCTACTGCAAACTGTTCGAAGTTTATACTCGTTCACCCATAGACGTAAATTAATGTGGGCAAGAGGATTCTTACGGGACTAAACCCGCAAAAAAGTCCAGAAGCCCCCCAAATATTTCCCGACCAAATCACGTCAGTATAGTGATTTATGTTATTACGTATTAATTGATATTTCTAAGCCCCAGATTGGGGGCTTTAAACATGTGTATAATATACATTACACTCCATGGATATACATGCGATCAAAATGAAGATACTATTTTAATTTGTAAATGTATACCTCGTAAAATATTGTTTCGTATAATATTATAAACACGCGAACACGTGTTTATCGTATATGCTAAGACATTTAACCTTTTAATGTAACGAGAAAAAATAAAATGATTTCTAGGTCAATCGTTTAGTCGTTATATAGGCGCATATAGCCAGTGCCCAGTAAGTGTTATATATATATATATATATAATAGGTAGCGAAGTAGCCAGTATACTATAAGTATAATCACAATTAGTGTCTGACCTTTCAATCTTGAGTTGAAAACAAAATAAAACATTTTCATCGTCTAACCGTAATATTACTATAATATTGCATTCTAGAAACCATGGTTTGTTTAAGAGTAAATGGTTTAGTTACGAGTAAATACTTTACGTTTAACATATGGGATTTCATATGTATAAGATGTAAGTAATCGTATAATTTTATATGTAGGTATTCCTACTATTCGTTCATATATTCACAGCTGCTGGGCATTGAAGAGTTAAATTAAGGCACATAACTAGTTACTTAAAAAAAAAATCAGTAAATCAATTTAATAATCACAGACATTTTTAAATGTATTGATTTTACAATGTCTTATATTTATTGTTTTGCTTAAAAATATTTTCACTATATCAAAAAAAAAAAAACGTTCAGATTATTAACTTTTAGAGTGGTTTTTGGTAGCGAATTTGATCTAGTTGAAACTTTGAGAGGTTTAAATATAAACCTGTTAAATATGTTTGGTAACCTTAGTCATTCACGGCTATCTTATTATTTTACCTTTACTAATAAACCAATAAAAATGTGTTAATCTTTTACACCTGTTAAAAAGTGTAATAATCAGCAATTAACTTGTCAAAAATTATAACATCCAATATCCAAAAAGTGTTAATTCTGTCCTATGGGTGAAAAACACACTTGTTTCTGTGGATAAAATACCCATGACTTAGGGAAATTAATATRCAAAATATTGAACCACTTTTTCCTAAATCAAGCCTCAAAGATTTAAAATATATGTAGTTACGAACAAATTTTGTTTACATAAAAAAAAAAAAAATAATAATAATAATAAATTATAATACAAATTGGAATTACAATTGTATAAGTATACTTAGTTTTTAAACGAAAATACACAATARCTGTTAAAATTCATAGGGCCTTGTGAATTATTAAATATTATTATATTTCATTATAATGTACTTCTATAATGGAAAATACCTATATGGCTTCCAATTAATAAAGTCTTAATTAGTCATAATATTATAATAATATAATTACGTTTTGTGTGATGTGGTTTTTTCTAATACTATTAACATAGAAGTCAAGCTTGTTAATTCATTATATATCAATTACCTATATCGTTTTAAACACTTGCCTTAATTATTATTAATAGAAATTAAATATATTCCATGCACAAGTAATTTATAAGTAGATATATAAATCATTATTGATAAAGTGGTATCTGTAACTKAACTTTAGTATACATGACGCGTTTCTTAAAAACACRTTTTAAGAATTATATTTTCGGACAGTAATACTAGGTACCTAATTACTAGTTTATACTATGAGTTATGACTTAATAAAGCGACAAACACTTTTATAATAGGACTTAGGACTATCGGACTATGAGTTTTTCCTTCTTGTCTCTAAACCCCTCAAGGCTAAAAGTCAAACATTAAATAATTATTTCTACTACAAAACGCAAAAAGTGATGACAGAAAGCAATAATTATTAAAAAACACAACATTTACTGTTATCATTATAAAACCCATTCATCKCTACACTCAGATAATTTAATATAGGTCATTAAAATGTTAAAAGATCAGGCTCACGTCCACACGGCAGGTTCATACATGCACTGTGGTGTCGGGATAAAAAACAGGTTTAAAAAATTAACTTTTTTACGTTTATTGTTTACTCGTCCTAGCTATAAATAAATAATTTGAATTAAAACGTTACCGCTATATAACTATAAAAATCATCAGTGCCAAATTCTGAGTCACATAAAGGGGTGCCAGTATTAGAAACTCTAAGAACCTACCTAATACTATAAAGAAGAATTTTTATTTTTACGTTACGATAATCATTTTTCGGTTTTATTTAACGTGTATAAAATATACAATTTTCATGGTAATAAAATAAAATACATAAAGTGATGAGTGTTGGAAGTAAAAATTTAAATTTAAGTCTTATAAAACCAATTTATGACCATGTTTAGATTAGACAAATGATTGAAAGGTCATTTATGATATTGTAAAAAACTACATCATCTTATAATTATATCTACGTTGTTAAATATTATAAAAAAGAAGCACTACTTGTCTTAATTGTATGTACCTTGTGCACAATTTTCATTAACRTGCCATTACTGATAGTTTTAAAATAATGTATGTATGTAATAATATGTGATTTACAATAAATAACTTTAACTATATACTATGAAGAATGAATGTATTCAATGGTAAAGTGTATTTATATTGGTTAATGTGGATATAATTAGGAAGTATAATTATAGAGAAAAGTCCTTGATTCAAATATACAATTTATCCTTATAATTGTTACTAAACTTTTTTATTATTCATAAAATTCTAACTTATAAGTTATAATTAACCGACTACTTTACCGAAATTGTATTTCTATATACATATATATATATATATATAAATACTCAATAGTCAATACAAAAATAATAATTTTGCTTAGGAATATAAAATATAAAATGTATATCTTATTTATTCAAAAATAGTAAAATCTTTTTGTTTTTTAAATGGCGATATAAATTGTAATATTCATTAATGTTCTCARCAAAAATATTGTTTTTTATGACATCAAAATTATGTGAAAATAGTTTCAAAAAATTTAAACATGTATTAACGTGTATATTGTACAGTAATATAATACATAATATCTGAATATTATTATAAAACAGATAATAGTATTTAATATATCAAAAGAGTGATAAGATAATACTACAATATTGTATTTACCAATAGAAAATAAGAAAGCTACCACATAATCATTAAACAAATCAGATTCTGATAATATTACTTAATAGTTATTACTTATTAGTAACTACTAAGTAAATGACGTAATCGCAGAATGCCAGTAGCGATTATAAATGATTATAGTATATCAATTATCGCTTATCGCTTATCGGACCCGTTAATAAAAATGAAGATGTGAGTTCAACAAAACGATGTATCATAACATTATATTATACTTATAACATTTATTATACATACTCTTGAAAATATTTACTAATAAATAATAATCAATAAATAACAATATTAATGAAAGTTTATTTGGATGAAAGTGAAACTAGATACTACACTCTATTACCGTATCCATCGCAGAATATAGTTTAGTTGATTTAAAAACGGATGCTTATAGATAGTAACATAGAAAACCACGAAAGTAACTCTATTCGGACTCTACGGCAAAAATACCACAATGTGGCCGGG